GTTGTAGGGGAGGATGGCAGGCCATTTTCCAGCGCATGTGCATTCTTTACTTTAGCTATTCACAATGATTGGAGCTGCATAGTTGCCTTGGAGATCAGGCATCTCCTACCCTCAACTTTTACAATAAAGCTTTCACTGACTTGTGTGGTACTGGTAAACTGTGACTCCAGCAACCTAAGGCAGAATGGTCCCTACACCCTTTCTGAAAAGGAATAGGTGGAGGTGGCTATCATCACCTGGCTTGTTAGTTACGTAGGAGTGGAACTTAATTCCTATAAGGCTTAAGATCAGGTAGGTTTTTTCCCCTCAGCTATACCACTTGTAATCCCTGAGGTGTGAAGTTTTATATTTTTATGGCATAGCAGTCCTGGCTGGAAGCCACCTCTGGTAGCTAACCTACAGTGCTCCCTTCATACATTCCTGTCTTCCCCATTTTAGGAATTGTAGAGCCCTAATGAGTGACTTAGTGAGTCCATTAACCAGTATCACAACTCATTGAAAGTCTGCCACAGAAGTTGGGGTAAGAGTGCTGAATAATTTATATAGAAATATGCCACCTTAATGAAGCCCTAACGAGAATTAGCCCTTCCATGACAATTTTTATACTTTGTTAAACATATTTGAAAAGACGGCAAATTATGCTATTTCTTTTTCTCTCCAAATTGATACATTCCTTTGTTTTTCTCCTCTCAATGTCTTCCACAGCTGCGCCATATTCTATAATATGCATGCTTATCACTTCACACTTGATGAAGAGAGGTAAATTATAAAGCATTTTCTTGGTCTTGCTCAAATAAGTTTTACTTTTGTACTTAATATGGTTGCCTTATTGAATGACAGCACCGAAATAGATTAGAAATACCAAGTTGGAAGAATTGGAGAAATGTAAGCTGTTGAATATAGGGGGATGGGGATTTACTTGGTAAAGAGAATCATACAAAGCAGTTGTGTGGAAAGAAATCAAGCAGGTTATGGAATGGGATTGAAAAGGAAAGCAATATAATGAAAAAAAATCATTTGCCCTCATCTGAAATAGGGTTCAGTAATGATCCTGCCATGGGAAAAAAAGACATTGTAGAATTATAGGGTTAGGTGACAAAAACGACTAGAAGTATAGTAAAACTTGGGTATGAAGAAAGAGTCAGATAAAGAAAGATGCTGTATTTACTTACATATGACATGCACCTTTCTCCCTGAAAAGTAGCTGCTGGACATAGGGGTGTGCATCTGAAGTGCAGAAATGTGAGGAGCAGAGGTCCTGATCCTGCTGGAGCTGAATTGCCCAGGCCAGCTTCTTGAGTTTGGGCATCACTTTCTGTAGCTAGCTGGTTCACGCAGCAGCCACAGGTTTTTGCTTCCTACTCTTTCTCTTCCCCAGCAGCAGCATGTGTTTTCCCTGTGAAAATACTTTAATGTGTTTGCAAAGAAAGATCTTCTTTGTTTTCATTTCACCTTCTGAAAGCAAGGTGTGCATCCTACTGGGGTGGGGGGGTAGTGTTATGTAAGAAAATACAGTGTATGTTACATGGTGGCCAGTTAGACCATGGAATGTTGTGGAGCGTAAGACTAGTATTTGGAGGTCTTGTGGAAATCAAGAATATTTAAAGATTAAACAGGTAAATATTTGAAACAAATTTAGAAGGGATTGTAAAACGTTATGATTCAAGTTTAAGCCAAATTTTAGCCATTAGGAATTGAGAGGGTAACTTCCTCAAAGACTTCATTTCACATGTTCTGTGGTTTCTTGCATCTTTTTTTGAGGTATCTGGTGCAGGTCATACTATGTGGGATAAGTTGAGGGATTGGATTCTTAAATGTTCTAGTTTTCTTGGCAAGTCAGAAATCTAGTGACTGAATATAATCCATAAAATGTTCTTTTTAACATTATGGAACCTAATAATTATAGGTGAATAGCTTGAAAGAGCTGATGTAATGCAAGAGATCTAACCTGCTAGAGCTATATAAAAAATTTAATGGGTCACGTTATTTCCTTTATCACCTTAATTCTTGTTTGTCATAGATTAAGTAATAACTTTGTTCCCTCATTTTCAGGAGTTTTTGAAGCTAAGTCAAGACTTGCTGTTGCTGCCAAACTTACATGCAAGTATCAACCACCTGAGTTCAACTTGAGTGTCATGAATATCTGATATCACTTACCCTGATATAAAACCAAAGCAGCACTACTTAAGCTCATGGAGACTTTCCAGATTTAATTCAGTGATTTTTGCTTTGGATCTTGTATTGATGCAACTAAGATCAGAAAATGACTACATAATAATTTGATATTCAAGCATTTATAATATTTGGCTAAGAGGCATAGGGACTCTGTGAATTTAAAACCATACTTTTTATTTTTGTTACCTAGTGTTTTTACAGTATCACTTAAGTTAGTTTAACTGAAAAGGAGTAAAGAAAAGTGTTTTTCTGTATCTTTTCATCTTTATTTGCCAGCTGATAAGTTTGTGCATTGTCACTTTTGCAAAGAATTTTATTAGGCGTCTACAAGAAGTTACTTTTCTCTTTTCGACAATTTACTATTCTAATTGAAGGGGGTACCTTTAAATTTCTTTTGACTTCTTACTGTTGTTTTAGTGTTACAAGTTCAAATGCAATTTCCTGTAATAACTGTATATTCCTGTTGGAGTGAAATCTGTCTAAAGAACTTTCCACCCTTCTCTTCCTAATTTGAAGGTCATTAATCATGTGTCTCAGTGTCCCATTCGAGCTGTTGTAATATTTGTTTTCGTAGACAACATGCATGCACAATTATAGGACAGCTGAATTTTTGTGTAATAGATTTTGCATTCCATGCAAATAGAAAAAAAATACCCTTTTTAAAAAGTAAAAAATCTTAAATGGCAGGAAAACAGGAAGTTGCTATTTTACTAGTCTGCTTTTACACAACCAGATCCTAATCCCACTGACTTCAGTGGGAGGAGGCCAAGTTTACAATTTATAATGGAGGAAGTGCTGCTTAAGCAGATAAATGAATGGTAGAAATTGGCACTGTCAGATGTTTAAGACCAGTTTCACTTCATTTTTATTTTTTGTAAACTGATCACATTACTACACATGCTTTTTAAATGCATGTTACAGTTGTACTTCAAGGGGACCTCTTCACACAGTTTTTCTCAGGTGTGTCATTTTTCCCTTGATGTCAGCTAGCTCTGGAAACCTTTCTGAAGAGTAGAGATTTGCACAAGTGTTGCACAACAGAACTGGTTTCTTAAAGTCAAGTTTGTAAACAGTGAGGTCTCCAACCTCCATCCATTGACTGTCATGCTTTACTCCACTATTTTAAAGACCTTGATTACCTGGTATTTTCTCCTTCTAGAGGTAAGTTAACAATTGAACCAAGTTACCTTGGTTTCTCAGTGGTACGCTAAAAAGAGAAAACCCCAGGTTGGTCACTAATACTCTTTTTCCAGCCTTCAGATCATTTTGTGGCTCTTCTCCGTACTCTTTCTGTTTTCAATATCCATTTTTAAACATGGAGATCAGAATAGGGTACATCAGGGTTCTTGAAGTGGTGGGCTGAATCCAGCCCCCAAAAGAGTTAACCTGTGGCGCTCAGGCTTCTGGTTCCTTACCTCCCTGCTCTAGATACTGCTGTCACCATAGTCAGGTTCTTTCTGTTTCCACTGTCTGCTTCTGTTCCTGGGGGTGGGGCAGTGTGGCCAGTGGGAGTTCATGGCCAGGAAACCCAGGGAGCCCACACAGCATTGTACCTGGGTGGAGGTGGCAAGCATGTTGTGCAGCATGGCATGGTGTGGCAGGAGGCATGTGACACTGTGTAGAGCATGGGACACTGACCTAGTGCAGTGGAGTGTTGCTGTCAGGACTGAGGGTTTGCTTGCTGCATGGCTCAGGTTGAATAGCCTGTGCACATGCAGTCCCCAACCACTCAGAAATTGGACAACTCTGGCTTTGATTCAAATAGCAGTTCCACAAGTCCCATAGGCAAAGGGAAATTACCTTCCTGCTCCCCTGTTAATACACAGAGCTTTCTAAAGTTCAGTGACAAATCCTACAAGTATAAATGGTCCCAGGGAACTAATGTTCCTTGTAATATTTTTCAGCCTTAAAAGTAAGTCTTCATTAGACCCGCATGTGGAAAATACTTGCTATGCTATAAGCTTGGGATCCGTTCCTGTTTCCATTGATGTCCACAGCAAGACTTCAGTGATTTCACTAGAAGCAGGATTGGGCCCTATAATAGCAGCCTGGACTTCTTGGTATAGGGTAGTGGAAAAGTTTGTTTTACTTTCTAAACCTATAACTACTTACAATTCTAAACATTTAAATGAAGAACTTCAGCTTTTAATAGATTTAAGGCTAGAGTGAACAGTGTATTTAGTCTGACCTCCTGCAAAAAACCTCTTGTATTTGCCTGAAAAATTGCCTTTCAGTTTGAAGACCAGAAGTGATTTCTTTTAGAGAGCCACTCTAGTTAAAGTGCCTGGAGCTTCTTGTGTATCAGCATTCCTATCCTTAAAAATGGCGGTGGGGGTGCTTTAGCTAAAGCTCATTTAACAGTCTTTAGATAATGCGCCCCCACCGCCATTTTTAAGCATGGGACTGCTGATACATGAGATGCTGGAGTGTAGTAATTACCACACTTCAGCAGACTTGATTAATTGAGTCTGCTCCGACACACTGTAATTACAGTGTGTTGGATTGGCCACACAGCTTATGTATAGGCGCCCTTAGTTATCAGTTGTTCCAGGCAATTGCATCCTCTAATTTAATTCACAAAATAATCAGACTTGGGCCCTTGGCAGGTGTTATACTTGACATGGCTAACCTGTTAATCACACCATAAATAGTAATTTCCCCACATGTTCAGGTAATTAATGGTGCAGCCCAATGAGAAACCTCCTGCAGACTGCCTGAGGGAACAGCAAGGCAAAGCATGTTGAGGTGCTCAGTCATGGTGAGCTTCAGGGCTTGCCACAACCTAGAGGAGCAGCTCCTGTAACACCATTATTTTAATGTCTGCCAGGGCCTTTATCTTGACACTAGTTAGGCTGCCACAATCTTTAACAGCCACTGTAATGCTGTTCCAAAACCTTACTCCCCTAATGGGCTGAAACTTTATTTCCAGCCCAATTTTCCCAAAGCCATTTTACAATTATTGCTAGCCAGTTCTTCATAGATTTAAAGATAATATCCATGGCCTATCTGATGCCCTTCAGAATATTCATTGGGGGGGTGGTTTGTTTGTTTGTTTGTTTTTCTTTTCTTAGCCACATTCATCCCTCAGGTACCAACAGAAAATATTTGATACTTACCTTTTCTGAAGCACTGAAGCATCTGTTCAGCTGTTGTGTTAGCTATTTAGTACTTCCTCTGGCCAAAAGTACAGCAGAGATGCCAAGAATTATGCCTTTTGTTCTTTAAATTTAAACTTAAAATTGATTGGTTTTAATTGGATTAGAGCCCAGTGTGCTTCATCTTTCAACTATTGTAGTTTTCTGTAGAGTATGCTAATATTATGATACAAATGATGTCAGAGTTTTTTCCTTCCTTCTTAAAGATGCTGGGTTTTTTGGATATGTTGCTGGAAAAATATCCTACATGCCAGCCTGCAGGGAAAAATTTAAGAGACTGGAGACTTCCCCGCTAACTGAGTTCATACAGAAAGGCCCCAAGTGTCTTACAGATGAGTAAGCCTCTATTCATTTTCTTTTAACTGTCCTGTCTTGTCCCATCCCATTGCCTGTCTTTGCTCCACGCCCTGCAGCCTCTCTGCAAGCAGCCGAGACTGATCAGGGCTTCATTTGCATCTTGCCATGGTTTTGAGAGTTATAATTTCCTCTCTTTTCTGGCAACTTGCTATCACCAGGGAAATCTGTATTTTTTTTGTGAATTATAAGCTTGTTTTAGCAGCCAAAAACATGTATATTGAGCTCCATAAATAACTGGCCATCTTGTGGAATAGAGCAAAAAGTGCTTTGAGTGACCAGAATGTACTAGGGTCTAAACTGAGACCCTAGTTTCCTGTGGAACTTACTTACAGTTATGTGACTTCACAGGTTTTCTCTTGATATGAAGTAAATTGAAATAAAATTGCTTCTCTTGTTGGATGGTTGCCAGTAGTTTAGTTTGGAATAATTTCCATCCTTTTCCTACTTCAGTCAATGTTTATCAAAGGAAAGAGTTCAGTAAACAGTATTAGCACAAGAAGCAGCATGATGGACGAACTTACTGTGTTTTGTTCATAACTTTGAAATCTATAATAGTGTAGAAGCCTGAAAGCATGCACTACATATGAGAGAGTCATCAGTTCTTAAAAATATTTCCTGTTTCGTTCCTGAAGTGTGCTTTCTGTTTGATTGTGATTTTTTTTTTTTTGCAAGGTAGTTTAAGACCTTTGTGATTTGGTAAATATCAGTTTATGTAATTCACCACTCAGAAAATATTATATGGGTAGCAGCAAGCAATAATCACACTTATGTTTTAAAAAACACTTAGCAAGATTTGATTAAACTCTTAATTGTGTTCTAAAACAATATTTATTAACTTTTTTGTACCAGACATCTTCATATTGAAAGATTCAAATGTATAACACTAAATTCCAGAGTTTTCAATAACATCCTTCTAAACAGTGTTCTCTTAATGTTCTAAAGCCAGTTGATGTTGAGGGCAGTCATGTAAACACAAATCATTTTTGAAGAGTAAAAGAATGGAGTGATTTTATATCTTTGTCAATAGTGGCTTAAGAACTAGAAGCCGGAAAAACTTGCTTAAAGAAAAATTCATAGATGTTAATGGTGTGAGTTAATGGCAGATCCTTTTGCTTTCATAAACTGGATTTAAGTTGACCTACAGTGGCAAGTTTTATGGCTCCATCTGGTACAGTCACTAGTAGCAAATTTGTCCAAACTACAGTATTGCCCAAATGCACTGCTTCCCTGCTTTTAAGCCAGTAGGTAAGATGTAGGCAAGGAAAGATATCTTATTTCTTTTAAAAATTTTATTCAAATAGATTGTGATAAATACATAGATCAGGCAAGATGCGTAGTGTCAATATGAAACTAAATGCCACAGTCAAATAAGAGCAAATCTTTACTCTGTTTGAAAGATGAGTTTGTGAAAGGAATAATGTAGACTAGAGGGTCATTGGAAATATATGCTAATGCCATATTAAGGATGCTTACATTTGTATAGTAATATGTATAGGCATATTTGCATCAGGCCAGATGATCGATATCTCTCTCTCTCTCTCTCTTCCCCCCCCCCCCACCTTTTAATCCCTTTAATAGCTCCTTTTACCCCTGTTAACTCTGTGGTTAAAAAATAACTAGGCGAATCCATGCAGGAGAGAAGAACATTAGACTTCCATTTCTTCAGGATGATATTTCACCACCCAAATGGCAATTGTGCCTGTTTTTTGGTATTGATCACTGATCAGGCATGGAAACTTCTAATGAATGGTTTTAAATTGCAACCTTTTTCACACAACTTTTCAAAATAACCACAGCTACATTCTTTTGCCACCACCAGTTTATATGGGCACACCCTTTACTATTTGTGACTGATGTGTTTTGTCTCTCTGAGCTCTCCTTTGGAGCAAGGATTGGCCTTTTTTGTCTGTAAAGTGCTAAACACAGAGTTGGTACTCTGTTTCTCTAGTCCATGTAATTAACAAGTATGACTCGTATTTCTGATTAATGCCTGTGAAGAGAGAGGTGAGCGAGTGTGTGTGCACATGTTGGGCATATTTCTTTTGAGTATACTTCAAATTGTAGTTACTTCAGGGTTTTTTAAATAGATCTGTAAATATTTTAAGTTGTTAAAATTAATCATATTAAACTCTCTGAGTAACCCCAATCCTGCTACTCAATGTTGCATTTCTTTGGTTTAAAGAATATATCCATTCTTTATAACAAAATTATATTATTTTACCAGCTATTCTAGTGAAAACTCAAAACTTACAGATGAACCTTCTCAGTCGGCTTTTGGACCTACTCCAACAACCGAAGTCACACTTCCTTCCAGCTATTCAGATGAACATAGCTCAACAGATCAATTCTTCTCTAATTATGAACCAGTTCCATTCAGTGCTTCCCTGAATGAATCTTCACCTACAGGAATTACTGATCGTAGTGACCAAGGTATGGTTTGTTTTAATAAGGTTAGGGATTTAGTGCAGTGATTTTTATCTCTATCTAAAATGCATTTGTCTTCAAATTGCTTTATTTCAGAAAATACATGATATTTTGCATATTTGTCCCTGACAGTGAGTTTTTATGAGGAACTGTTGAAAATCGAAAAAGTATCCTGACAGCATACATTTATCTGCACTGTTTCTATTGTAACATTTATCTTTAAAACCAACTATGTATTTTTTTGTATATCTTTCCAAACCCCTCTAGATGTGTAGGTAAAGGTGGAGTGGGATTGAATGTGCAATCCACATAATTGCACTTCCTGCCATGACATATGTGCATCACAGGAGGTATGATTATGGAATTGTGCATTAGATCCCATTGTGCCTTACTCCTGATGCAGGGGGAGCCTGATCCCAAGCTTCCCCTGGCACTGGCAAGAAGCAAGCTCCTGCAGCTGGGAGCCCCTTCAGTTGAGGGATTCCCAGCAGTGGGCATGTCCCACATGCCTCATGCCCTGGGGAATCATGGTAGCTGCAATCCTTAAGGCTTGGGGGCGCGTGAAACGGCCAGGCCCTAGGGATTGGGGCAGCCATAATCCCCAGGGCCTGGGGATTTTATGATGAGCACTGTGCACCCCTGCAGCTGGGAGTCCTGTCAGCTGATGGGGTTCCCAGATGCAGGGGAGACCCTGCTACATGTGCAAATTAAAGCTTGATAGCAATGAGGTATAAAGGTGGTACATGTTTTCAGGGTCTGACTTTACAGCTGGTTGAGCTTTTTATCGTATGAGGTGTACTTTGCACATGTAGCTGGTCTTAAGGTAATTGCACAATTAACCAGTTATCTGCACAATACTTGTAACATGTAATTATCTTTTGAAGGCCTCTTCTACAAGTAAAGATTGTAGATTGTAATATGCAATCTGTGGACAAAATAGAACAAAAAAGCTAAGATTTGGCCAAAGTTTTTACTTTGTGTGAAATGGAAGGAATAAATGACTTCTGTTTCTTTACCAGTTCTTATAGCCTCTATCATTGCCATCAGAGAGAACATGTTTTCATTGTGGTATGCTTAATTCCATGGAACACCTTTTTTAAAACTTGGTTTGGATGCTTAACCTTTGGAAATCTGAATGCAGAGCTGTATTCTGTATGAGATGCAATTCATTGGTATTCTGGAAAACATTTAACTAATTGCAACTACAGTCAAATCAGTTGGCTAATGCTGCTTCTACTTCTCACATTTTTTTTAAAGAACCTGTTTCATTGCAAGAAGAAACTAAAAGAAAAGCTGTCTCTTATGAGGAACTGAGGAACAAGAATAGAGAAGCATATAAGGAGGCCTTAAAAGAGAAACGGAGTCCAGTCCAGTCTTCACAGGAAAAACCATTTAGAAAAGAAGGTAATTTGATGCTGAATTATTACAGTATATGGTAAAAACCGATAACAGGGTTAAAAGACTTACAGTTAACTGTGCTTATCCTATAAGGATTTATTTCTATGAATCTTACTAATGGGGGGTGATTCTTACATGGCACACTACACAAGCTTCTTCTGTCATGATACCCAGTTTGTTCAAAAACCAATAAAGTATCTGTAGCAAATTATAATTACTGTCCCGTAACTGTCTTGTTCAGGTAGAGGCTGATGGTGAAAAGTTTGGTTGGTGTTTAACTGACTTATCCCCTAGGGAAATTGTAGTACACAGCAGCAATTTAACTCTGTAGTTAGTTTCTCATGACAAAATTTTGCTCCTTTGGGCGTGTATGTTTTAGATAGCATTGTTCTCTCAAAATAGAATATGCATCTGGGGTTTTTTAAATCTGTTTTTTGTGAATTGTTTCATGTAGAATTAGGGGATTCTTGGTGCGCAGACCTTTGATGGATGTCATTGTTTGCAAAATTTACTACTCTGCACTAAAACCTGAAGGAAGGAAACAGTACTTGGCACCTAACTTACTGTTTGTTTTCACAATGAAAAACAAAACTTTACAATGTTAAAACAATAATGAAGTGACCTGCAAAAAAAAAAAAGTGCCATTCACTCAGCATAAAGCCATCCTTGAGAACCAAGTATGTTCTTTGCTTTGTTTTATTAAAGGGCAATTATTTTGCCATGTAAGGCACTGCTGGATAAATCTTCAAATCTTCAGCCTTTATATTCAGAACACCCTGGTACTCTGCATCACAGAGAAGCAATGACAAAATGCTTGGGTGATGATTTAAAACAATTGTCACTTGCAGAGAGAAAGAGGCTTCTTCTATAATCTCAATAGGGTTTGTAGTTCAAGTTACCTTCCAATTGTAGAGAGCAAATAAGCTGCAGGCTGATCTTAGCAGGTCATTGAGATAATATCTTGAGCAAAACGATCAGTTCTGTTGCAGAGATACTGGATGAAGTGGCATCATGAGGTCCTATGACTGGGATTGTGGAGTCCAGTCCCATGACTGAGGTGGAGTGGGAAAGTTCACATTGCTTGGAACTACTATTATTTCAGCAGGATTGCCCCTTCGTTGATTTGCACAGTGTTCCCTTTTAAATCTTTTTACCACAACAAGAGAGGATAGAAATTTGACCACTGTCTTGGAACATAAGTTTCATATTGGGTCAGCATAGTGATCCCATCTAGCAGTGCCTCTGACAGTGGCAGTAACAGATGCCTTAGAGCAGTAGTGCTCAAGCTTTTAATCCTGCAGGTCAGGTGAACGATATGGGGCTAATCCACAAGTTACATCTATCCCCACATGTCCTGGGGCCCAGTACTGTTCCCTCCATTCCCCAAGCACCGGCACCGGGGTCAGTCTGTGGGCCAGATCTAGCCCCATGCTCAAATTTGGTCCTGGGGACCTGGCATCCTTTTCTTCCCTGAGTGCCGGGATCAGCCACTGGAGCCTGGCACAGCCCCTGCATGCTGAGGTTGCCTCCCACACTGGGAATGGGCCCTCGGGCCCAGCTCTACCCTTGCCTGGTCCTATATGCTAGGACCTGGCATCCAATCCCAGCACACGAGTCCCTGGGATATGAGAGGATATGTTCCATACTGTTGTGTTTAATAGTGATCAACAGTCCTGTATTCCATTCGTGTGTTTAATCCCTCTTAGAACCTGACTGCTAAATTACTAGCACTGCATAAATAGTACTTTATTTTGTTTGAAATTTCTCCTGCTAATTGCAGCAGATATTGCCTACTTCTAGTAATTTTCAGTTTTGTACTGTATTGTAATTCATCCTCCACCCTGCCATCTTCTTGCCTCTCTCTCCACTTCTTTCAAGCCAGCACCTTTTTCATTTTGTTCTACACTGTCCAGTTAAACATGGTGTATGCTTACTGAACTAATCCTTAATGCCAGTAATGTGTCCTCTTGCACATGTCTCAAATCCACTTCTGTACCGAAGGAAATTGCCAAATGATAATGGTGAGGTGGCTAGTCAGGAGGGCTTGCTGCTCATTTATATGATTTTTTTGTTTGTTTGTTTTGTTATCTTGAAGGCATTTACTTGTGTATGTAACTAGTCTGTACAGCCACATACCAGTAGTTATCTTCACATTCTTATTTCCTCTGGTGGTTTTTGTTTCATCCTTCTGGTGTGTTTTGTTTTAAATTAAGTCAAAATGTTGTTGGGTGGGGACTAACAGTGGTGTCCTACCCTCAGTGGAGCTTTTGAATACTGCTGTAATAAAAATAATTAATAAGTCATCTCTGCCTCCTCCCTCATTGGAAGAGCAGTGTGGGGGAAGAAAAGCTTTAAACCACATGTGTTCTGAGCTATAAATGACCCTGACTGTCACAGTTTAAGCCGCAACATGCTTCCTAACAATTTCAAAGCACCGTGTAAAATTTCTGTATATGTATTTTGTGTTATTTTTCTTTTTCCCCCCCCCCAGCTAAAGTAAACGAGTATGGAGACGCTTGGGACGAGTAAGAACTGGATATCTGCACCTACTGAGGGAAGTTATTTGCAGTCAGTTAACTTCTGCTTCATTAATGTTGGTCATCACGCGTGCGTTATGGAATACCCTGTCAAAAGGAGATTGTTGGGTTTTTTTCACTTGCTAGAGGGTTAAAAATTATGGATTTAAGCTTAGTATTATGTAACTTTTCACATATGGGGAACCAAACGATTGATTGCATCATTTTGAAATGTATGTGATATTTTAAAAGAATGTACAATAGTTTAACTAGATTTAATTCTATGAATTCCTAGAAATAGGATGAAGGCAATGGCATTTGTAAAACAGGCTCAATCAGTTGTGCTCCTATTTGTGGGGGGAAACAGTGTAATATGTTAAAACTATTAAAGACTTGCATTAAAAGTTCCTCAATAAAATATTCTCTCACTTTTTTTATTTCTTCTGGAAGTGGTGTACTAGGAAATCACTGATTTTTTTTTTTGATGTTGTTGTTGTACATTAGATTATTTAAACTTAAAATGGAATTTAATTTATCCCTTCTCTTTTGCATGATTTAAAAGGTAAGTCTTTCTAATTTGCAATAAACCTTTAGAAAAAAAGCAGGGGTGAGGTACTAGCCAGACACCAAATACATGAACTGAACTGTCATCCCTGTCCACCAACTGCATTGTCGTAAGTGTGAAACAGATCCAAATCTGTCCATGTAGGTTTGCACTAGCTAAACTCAGCCACTCCAAGTCTGTGTATGGATAGGCCCTAAATTCATAAGTTCATTGTTTTTGGGGGGGGGTTGCAGCCATAAGTGCTAGAAATGCATTTATAGCATCAAACGAAAGCTGTCTGATCCACTGCAGACTATCCCCAATTATGGACCAGTACTCAGGAATGTTAGGAGGTTTTTTTTTTTTTTTTTTACAAGAGACCATACCCAGGGTGCACATTTCTTGTTTATAAACATGTTTAATAAATTCCTGTAACTACAAAGAGATCAGTATAATACAGACAATCTGACACAACTGCTGTAAAAAAATGTTGGAGAACTAGAAAAATGTAACTACAATATGTAAGAGCTGACTCTGTG